ACTTTTGACCCCGACCCCTTTCGATTTGGCTGAAAATTTTTTATCCTATTCTATCCTATGAAAAACAATTTTCAGAATTTTTTCAAATTTTTTTACCAAACACAAAAAAAATTATTAATTTTTGAAAAATGGCTCTTTTTTTTTAAATGGCTATAACTTCTTCAAAATTCAACCTATTGAGACGTTTTTTTTTTTCAAAATTTTTGTTTTTAAATGTACTTTTCAGAAAAAAATACAAAAAAATTTTTAAATTATAAAATCCATGAAATTTTTGCATTTTTTGGAAAAAAACCGTTATTTTCTTGAAGTTCGCTATTTTTCATTTTTTTTTATTTTTAAAAAGAAACTTTGACTAAATCTGCGATTATCCCCGCAGATTTTTTGTGTTTACTAAAAAAATTTGAAAAAATTCTGAAAATTGTTTTTCATAGGGTAGAATAGGATAAAAAATTTTCAGCCAAATCGAAAGGGGTCGGGGTCAAAAGTGGCCGATTTGACGTGGAATGCCTCATATATATTTATATTTATATTATTATTTTATTTTTTTTTGCTGCTTTTATACGAAAGCGTTTGTTTGTTTTGCGAACATACATGTCTTTTTTTTGTTTTTTCTTTTTTATTTACAGATAAACTTTGTATGAGTTTCTTAACGTTTATTTTTTATATTCATTTATTTTGTTTTAACTACAACAATAATTATTATTATTATTATTAATTTTATGATTTTATTTTTCTCACTTCGTAAAAATTAGCAACTTTTGTTAAACAAAAGTTTAAGATATTTGACAAAAAAATGAATTATTATTATATATCACGTATGAATTCTTTTAATCGTAATTGCGAAAAAGTTAATAAAGAAGAAAAAAAAGGCAAAGTAAAAGAAGAAGAGAAAAAAAGAAAAAAAAACAGAGAAAAAAAAAAAGAAAGAAAGAAAGAGAACAATTTTTGAGACCAAAGCATTTTTGTCTGTGATAATATTGATGAGAGATAAAAAAAACTTGTGTTGAGAGATAGAAGAAATTGTGTGTTTTAAAAGAATATAAAAAACATTTGTTCGTAATTACTTTTTTATGGGAAAAGACAAAAAATTTATGGAAACGTGTTTTTGAACAAAAACAAAATTATCAATTCGTTAAAAAAAAAAAATAAATCCATTTAACAATATCAAAGTCATGTAACGATAGGATTATTGTATTTTCTTAAGATAAATAATTGGTATCAAATTTCAGCACGGCAATTATTATTGATTATAACAATAAATAAATAAACAAACAAACAAAAATAAATATACTTATGTATACATGAATATCATATTTAAAAAAAAAAGAAAGAAAATAAAGAAAGAAAAATCATATATATTACTTCTTTGAAAAAAAAATTAATTAAATATTTCTTAATTAATAATACGAATTAAAAGTATACTTTTTATTCAATAATATACTCTCTTCCCGTGCTTTTTGTAATTTTAATATATCAAACATAACGAATATAACTATAATAACAATTCCATTATCAACAGAAGTAAAAAAAAAAACATAAAACAAAATTTATTTATGCCAAGAATAATTTGCTTTGCTTATAATTGTAAATAACATTAATAGATTTTAACACAAAGCTTTCTAACAAAAGCTTCTTCCTTTCTCCAATTTGCTATATATTTTAATAGGGAACAAAAGATTTATAATTATTATAAATAATAATTATATAATTTCTTGCATTCCATTGTATTTGATGTAACCTGAATGGTTGTTAAATTTAAAGTCACATTAATTAAAATTGTTTTTATATTGTGTTATTTCCATTCATATGTTTTATGGACAATTTTATATTTCATAAATAATCATCGTCACATATAATTCTCCTTATTATTATTACAATCAATATTTGTTTCTATTTTATTTGTTTATTTAATTAGAGACATAAATAATTTTTCTTTATGTTTTCATATTATCTTTTTTATCTGTACATAATAATTCATTGTAATAATGACTTGCTATACCTTTTCGTCCTACTTGTGCAGGACAAGGAGAATCTTGACCTAAATTTTGTTCAACTCCTTTCCAAGATCTTTCTTGAAGAAATTGTGCTCCTGCATTACCAATAGCTACAACACCTATTTGCAAAAATTCAATATTTTAAGGTTGATTTTTTTCTTTACTAATTTTCTACGTAATTATAATTAAAAAAAAAAAACACATGGTACCTGGTGTTTTTAAAACTAAAGCATCCATTTTATCAATACAAATATTATCTTTATTTGTATTTCTAATTTCTCCAGAGATTAATGACATGTCTGCATCCTTAGATGTTTTTAAATCGCAATAATTTAAACCACCAGGTAGTATTTGTCTAAAATCGATGCAATATTGTGTAGAAAATGTTCTTGAAGCATTGAATGCTAAATCAACTTCATATGGCATTAATATGGGTCGTAAGTAATCTCGAGAATCAAATATTTCATTTTCTGAGCATGTTATTACAACAAATGCATCAATCTAAAATAAAACATTAAATATAGATTATAATTATTAAAATTAAATGAACAAATAGCTGATAGTAAGCAAAATATTTAACATACCTCTAGAAAATTACCTAATTTTGTTGGATCTATTTTACCGACTGATAAAGTATACGTTTTTTTATTATTTTGTTTAAGAATATTTTTAACCATTGATATACATTTCAAATAATCTTTTATTCCTAACGTAGCTACCACTATACCAACAATATTAGCATCTTTAAGCTTTTCAACGAGAAATCGTCTTCTCTTCAACCAGGGTGAATTTAATACGTTAAATTCAATAATTTGATTATTTTCAAAATAATACCATTTTTTGGCAGGAATAGTCATTGCTAACGTGGAAAATGTTTTTCCATTTTCTCCCAAAAATATTGCATCATAATCATTTATCGTACTATTATTTTCTAAATTATATATTCTACCTAATACAACTGTTTCTGATGAACTTTTATTATCCGTAAATTCCACGTTTGATGTACAATTTAAATATGATAAAATTAAATTGTTAAATGTAAGTTTTAAACTGGTGTATATAGATTCTATAAAATAATAAAAAAATATATATTATTTCATCTATTTCTCAAAACTATAAATATTTATGAATAATTTTATTAAAAATTACCTATAATTACTTACCAATCAAATGTGCATAAGCTACATCATAAAAAAGTATACATTTTTTGTTTGTATCTTGTAATACTTCCTTAAGTTGATCTTGAAAGCACGTTAAATCGACTTGTCTTTTTGGTAAAACATGAAAAACAGATATTTGATTTACAGGATTAAGACAAGCATGTCCAAAATGTATTATACCATCAGTATTGATATGTTGAGCATTAATTACATTGACACAACAACTGCCATACGTGGTATCTCCCAGAATATATACTTTTCTATTTAAACATTTTTCTAAATTTAATGCAACTTTCACTGAATCTAACAATAGTTCTTCTGGGAATTGTAAACATACCTACAAAACATATATATCATATTTTAGATTAAAATTAATAATAGTTGTTATCAAATTCAATAATAATAATAATATATTTTGGACGTAGTAATATACAAACTTTTACTAAATTATTTGATTTAATCCACTTAACACATTTTTCTATTTCATAAGGACACTCAGTTTGATTAATTGTTAATTGTTCATCCACATGCTTTGTATCGTTCATCGTGATAATATTATCTGATAAAAATTCATTCATAATGATAAATTTACAATACGATTTATTATTAAACAAGAAAGCATATTTAAAATTACTTTATTGCAATTTTTCAAGATAACTTGAAACACGTTATATAAAAATAAAATTAATATAACAGCATCAACACCATTTTTCATTAATATTTAAATTATTATGTACAATATCGCAAATTTGAGGTTAAATCAGAGATATTACAGATAGAGGAGACAAACCATAGGCGATTGTGTAAGTGGAAATGTCTCTGCATGAACATATGTTGTCTCTCTCTAACTCAAGCGGTACCGGCGCATGCGCATTAGACTTATCGTGCTTATCACCTACCTTAACCTCTACTTAGGGACCCTATAGGAGGGACGCGCCATGTACATTGCTGAGGGACAGGAACTCGTGTAGTCACGTGATTGCGCGCGAATGATTCAACTAACCATAGCCGTTAATACATACTAAAGATAAACATAGCTGCGCCATGCAACGGAAGCTGTTCCCCTATATTTTTAGCCTGGCAATGTACACTAGGAAAACAGCGATCGTAGCGGTTGTTATGGGAAGTACTAATGATCATATTTTTTAATACGATTTCTAAATGGCGTTAAGGTTTCATTCTTTATCAACTGTTGGTAACATCGCATATTTTAGTTTAAAATTGAATCGTTATAGCGTACAATAGTATAATCTTTATTTATATATTATATAATATCTATGTAATTACAATTATTTTTTACGTACAGTTTTAATCATAATAAATATTAAACAAATTATTGTTTATTTTATCGTACAAACTAATTCAATATGGGCGTAAAATCTATGGATAATTATTTAGAAATTTTGAATGGTTATGTTTGCGACGAAGATAAAGTGGTAAAAATGAATATTATTTGATTAATTTGAAAAATACTTTCCTTTTCAAATCTGCAAACAAATTTTCAATAATCTTTTTTTTTACTTATATCTTATCATTTCTTTTTTAGGTTACATACAAATGGCTAAGCAAAGAATTGGAAGTTCATGTAAATATAGCAAAACAAATTTTATGGGAATTTTGGCAGAATTATAAAAAAGATGATGACATAACATCAACTGTTATGTTGATTGGTTATTTAAAATCTGGTGGTATGCGAGTAGAAGTTGTCAAACAATCAAATTTAAATACAGCTAAGGATAAATTTAACAAAATAATATCGGAACATTTATACAGTGTACAAAAATCTATACCTGACTTAGAATTTCATTTTATAAATGATGAAGGAGATGTCAGGTTTAGTGCCATTAAATGTAACGAAAGTGTTGAACGTAGTGATGAAGAATTGTCAAATTTAAGATGGGGATCACTTTTCAAAGATCGTCCTGTTCCAAAGAAAACTAATGTAAAATCTCCAGACAATAAACCAGAAAAAGTAAAACCTTCTGAAACTGTTAAACATAACAATCAGACAAATAGAAAATCAACGGATAAGAAAACTGTACCCGTTTCACAAAAAACTGGTTTTAATAATCTTTTTGGAAAGGTCACTAATAAAGAAAATAATAATAAACCATCTACTTCAAATGATATTAAAAATAATCAAGAAATTACACCTGAAAAGACATCTTCTAATGATAAATCAAATTCATCATTGAAAGAAAATAAATTTGTTAAGAAAGATGATAAAAAAGGTATTTCTAGTTATTTTGGAAAAAATGCAAATGTTACAAAAGATTCTCCTAAAGAAGAAGAAACCAAAAAGGAGCAAACTAAAGAAAAACCTAATGTTAAAGATAACGTAAAAGATAATAATGAAATAAAAGTTATTTCTACTAAAATTAACGATAAAACTGAAAAAGAAAAACGTGGAACTAAACGAAATCGTAGTAAGGAATCGAATAAAAATACAATGAAAAAAAGGAAACGTATAATCGTAGAAGATGATTCGAGTGATTCTGAAAGTGAAGATGAAATTATGGAATCAGATTCAGAACCAGAAAGTACAGAAATAATTGATATCAAGAAATCACCTTCTCCTCCTACTCCTCCTCGTGTGATGAATAGCAATGGTAAAGCAAGAATTCTTAAAGTTGTTGATCGTACTTACGAAGAGGATGGTTTTCTAGTAACAAAAAAGGTACACGTATATGAGGATTGTCCAGAAGATACAACAGAAATCAAAGAAAAAGAAGAATCTATTCAACATCAAAAAGATGTTGCTAAAGTACAGACCAAGAAGAAACAAACTACGTTAACTAGTTTCTTTAAAAGATCCTAATGTACATAATAAAAGTTTATATTTATATAGGTAATTAAATGATGTATTTTGAACAAGTATATTTCTTTATTTAATATTCTTGATATATATATCATTTTTTAATTAAGTTATTCTTTATAATCAAACAAATATATTGGTATATATGTGTTTACAATTATATATACCAATATTTGTCATTACTCAATTTGTTTCTAACACTAGAATTATTAAGCAACATTCCCTATTATTTTATAGATATAATTTTTTGGAAAAGAATGGTATGTTTAATTTTTTATTTATTGTGCGTTTAATTAATCTTTAATTTAACAATAATAAATAGATAGTTATTAGTTATACAATGTTTTGTAATAGTTATATAGTTTTTATATTTGTAAAATAAAAAATTTGGAATGAGTCTCACTCATTAATTGAGTTTGATAGTTTAACGTCCTGAGCTATAAATGATATCTAAAGATATTAATACTTGTGTATATATGTATGTGTGTGTGTGTGTGTGATCATTTACTTGGAAATGTTATCAGATATGTTATCATGGATAGAATGGTGAATGTGCCAAAGTTATAATTACTTGAGTAATGTTAAAGAAGGTAACGGTGAATCAATACACGATGTGAAATGTCTTCTTTCATTATGAATCATATTCTACGCAATAGTTGGATTATTATTTTATTTTTTTTAAATATTATATTTAAATGTAAAAGTGATATATGTACAACATGTTTATGTTCTATCAATGGTATGTAAAAATTTCTTCTACATTTTGTATAATTATTTTTTTAATTGAATTGAAATTATTACAGGTACAGAAACAACTATTATTAATTGTCATGAAAAATTACTTACAAGTAATAACATAATTCAGATGAATTTATTAATGTTAAATCAATATCAAAATGTACAAAAATTCATTTTATCTAAGAACAATTTGACGTTTATTTCATCAAACACATTTATTAAATTGAAACATATGAAAAAATTAGATTTGTCTGATAATTTTCTGTCGGAAATGTATATTGATGAATTGGTAGAATCTAATAATTTAGATGAATTAAATTATTCGAATAATCAATTGAAAGTATTTGATAATATTATATTTGATAAACTATCAACTATTACGAAATTGAATTTGAGTCATAATTCTATTGAAATACTTAAATCGTCAATTATAACCACACCCATTAATAATTTAATTGTTCTTGATCTTTCTTACAATAATATAACTTTTATTAGTGATGCATTTTTAAAACCATTTGTGCACTTACAATATTTAAACTTATCGTTTAATAAAGTTACTTCAATTTATGAAAATACTTTTTTGCAACTTTTCAATTTAAGAATACTTATGATTAATAACAATTTCCTTTCGTTAATAAATTTTAATAAATTGCCAACAAATTTAACTGAATTAAACATAGGATATAACAAAATTACAAAATTAATTTCAGAACCATCCGAAATTGACGTAAAAACAAATATTAACTTTACTAATACATCTCAGTTAGAACTTTTAAATATAAGTGGTAATAGTTTATCAGATTTTCCAAACATAACATTTCCAAGATTAAAAGTATTAGATATTTCAAACAATAATTATTCTCACATTCCGATATATTTATCATCAGAAAATTATCCATCAATTAAAACAGTTATTGTCAGTGGCAATCCAATTAAAAATTTAACATTGTACTCTAAATTAAGATTACAATCATTTGTCGCAAATAATATTACATTAGTTGAAAAAATAAATGATGATACATTTTTCAAATTGGAAGCACCTATAAATGATTGCATTAATCTTACAATATCTAATAATGAAAAACTAAGCTTCATTGATGAAAAAGCTTTGAATCATATGAATGCATGTTTTGTAAGTACATTTTTGGTTTAAAATTATTAATTGCAAAGATATGTGTTTGTTTCATTATTATTGACATCATTTTCTATTTATGTAGGTAGATTTAAGTAACAATAAAATAAACTACATATCTCCAAAATTGTTATTATCATCTAATGGTACTCTTAAAATAAATAATGGTATTAATTTGCAAGGAAATCCCTTTGCATGTGATTGTTCATTACAGTGGATGTTAAGTGATCTAATACCACAACTTTATGTTATAAATCAAGGCATTTTGAATAATTTAAGGTATTATAAATAGTCATTTACTTCAATGATATTATTATTGTAAGAAATTGAAAATATTTGTATATATTGTTTAATAGATGTGCAACTCCTCTGAGCCTATCGAATAAGAGAATGGTACATTGGTACAAGTGGAAGAAAAAAATATTTTGTGACGACACATCTGAATTATTTGATCTTTCAGAAAAATACTCTGTACAACTCGAAGGAGTGTCAGAAAAGAAAGTAATAACAATTGAATCTAGTCCTGGATTATTAGCAATCTTAGGCAGTGCTATTTTAGTGTTAATCATACTTTTTGTAATTGGAATTTTATTGACTCAAAAGTTAGAACAAAAAAGATCTCGTAAAAATAGAAGATTTTAAATAAACTGTTAGATATAACAAATATTCATTTATAAAGAAAATATTTTGTGTATAATTTATATTTAATAAATCTTAAGCTTTATTATGAATATACATCTCGTTTGAGATATTTATTTTTATAATAAATTATTTTGTCAAGAAATTGAAACTAAAAATGAACAAACATTTTTATTATTAATCAACCATAAAACTAGAAAATGGATGATGCATTTTTACCTTATTGGACCAACCTTATTTTATTTTCATTACATTGATATTGTATTGGACATGTTTGTTTTAGAATATTTTTTATACACTTGGACGCAAAATGCATTTTCATTAAAACATCGATTTTTAAATATCATCTATCTGCCATTCACCTGATTTAACTGGAATCGATGGATTTTCTCTCAGTTCATTCAAAAAAGAACATATATTTTCATAATATCCAGGTTGACACCATGTTTCATTATGCGTACCACCAGAAATTGGAAGAATCTTTTTACATCTACTTGGACAATTTTTATAAAGTTCTTGCATCATTCCAGGTGGTACAAATGTATCTGCTAAACCAGAGATAAATAATGTTGGTACTGTCATCGATCGTATTTTGAAATTAGATAAATACTGCAACAATAATAATAATAATATTATTAACAAACAGAATAAAAAATCAGATCATATATAAAATGATTAATAAACATGCCTTATTCTTATATATAAAAAGTGGTAGATATAAGAAAAATTTGGATCCTACAAATGCAGCCATATCAGGAATACTTGTAAATGTATTTTCAAGTATAAGACACCAAATTCTTCTTGCATTTTCTTCCCTAGTTGCTAAATCAATTGCTATTGCTCCACCTTTATAGATAAATATAGAATAATAATTATTATTGTTATTTAAATAAGATCAACTCATTTAATACGACTCACCCAATGATCTACCAAATACAATGATTTCATTAGTATTAATATTAGGTTTGGAAGCTAAATAATCAATTCCAGCGCGTGCATCCATATACAATCCTTCCTCGGATGGTGATCCTTGTGACAATCCATAGCCTCTATACTCCAGCATTAGGATATTGCATTGAATATTACGGTAGAGACCAACAACATTATGAAGTCTGCTTACAACATACATCATAGACTAATTTTTTGTATGTTTCAAGAACAATCAAAACAATATTGATAGTAGTTTTCTTTCTAAATGGTCTGACCTATGTCCTATATTTCCAGCATTCCCATGAAGAAAAAGTAAGGTTGGAGCAATCTTTGCTCTATCTTCAGGTTGTGGTATGAAAAACATATGTAACATAGTACCATCTCCTGAACGTGTGTATATACTTTCATATGGTAAATTGTAAGTAGATGGGGCAGGAACATAAGAACGAGAATGTGTTGGTGATCCAGGATGATAAAGTAATTGATCCTCTCTGTGATATAATACGACTATAAAAATGATAATAATGAATTTATATCCAATCTTTCAATTAAATAAAAATTATATTTATAATTTAATAAACACGTTGTATAAAGAAAACTAACCTATAGTAGTGATACATAGCAAGCAGAAAGCAAAAATACAGCTGTAAAACCAGTATAATAAAAAAAGGAACAAAATGTATGCACCAGAAAATACCCAACGTTTCATAGCGATTCCACCAAGTAATTTGATCGGTCGACTACGAGCTAGTCTCATACGAAAAGACATTTTATATTCTCATTTATCACACTTTGATTTGATAAAATATTCAATTTTAATTAACTTTTTTTTAAATTACTTTTACAAACAAGTCACGAGTTTTTTATCTTCATTAATTCATTGTAAACAATATCGTACAACAATTGTAATTATAAATACGATATTTATAATTGTACATATATAAATACTGGTTGAACTGTAACCTCAAAATATCTTTTTTTCTTTATATATATATATATATATATATATGTTTAAAAATGTTATATTAAAGTTAAACACAGAAAATGGCCACGGTATAAAAGTAAACGATTGATCTATTAAACTAATTTATTAAATATATATGTTTCGTACATCAAAACGATGTTACGGAAGGAGGTTTTGTTGATACTTTACGACGTGGAATTATATTTACTATATAAATCATCAATCGCGTTCCTATAAAATATGCTGTATCATCTTGCGATTTCATATTGTATGTTAACTAGTTTCATTTTATAAAACTTTCAATGTTAATTTATGAAATATTAAAAATCATTTCCAAACGATAAGATATAAACGCTTTATACACTTTCTGTCAAAAATAATAATATACTATCGATATCTACTCTGTTTTACTGCGGTTGCGCATTAATGATGTTTCATGATTGGTCTTGACATCATATACACTTCTGTACAATCATTGGTTAGATTTAATAAGACAAATAGATGGGAAATTTAAATTGAATTCTTAATATGTTGCGCCTAGAAAATGTGAAATAGTCATTATTTATTTTATAGAATAATTTGTTTATAATAATACAAATAGTTGTAATGAAATATTTCAAGCTATATTATCTTCGTTGGTTTGATCATTCCAAATCTTCCAGGAGTAAGAAAACTGAGTATTGTGCAAACTAAACAAATAAAAAGTACAACTTAGAAATAAATATAAATATAAATAATTGTAACAAAAAAAAATAATAGTCAAAAATAATACAATAAAACGTACAAAAGAGTTGCGATGCTACTATGATTATTAATGATAGACAATAATTATCTATTAAGTAACCAAATATCCAATTTCCTGAAAATGCTCCAACACGTGCACAGAAAGCAGCTAAGGAAGCAGCCATCATTCTGTTGTAATTAAATTAAAATTAATTTATGTACAGTGAAAACTTTGTAATAACTTTGTTTGTTACAAAAAAAAGAATGTAAAATTAAAACTGACATACCTTAAATTTGTAGGAAAAATATCAACAACTATACAAAGTGTTATACTCATGCATACAGATGTTAAAGCTTCAAAGATACTAGAGAGTATAAGATTTTGAGTTGATGATGTTATAAAGAAAAATCCTATGGTTACTAAAGTAGATAAGAATGTGCAAATTACTGAAACATAGAAATCAAAATGTTTGTTTTGATTAAATTGATAATGTAATAAAATGGATGGTACTAAAAAAAAAAAAAGAAGAAAGATGGATAATTACTTATATAAATTTTATAACCAGTATATGTAACAGTTAGGGGAAGAATAATACTTAATGGTAAACAACCCAATCCTAGAAGAAGTGTATGGAAAAATACATTATCGTGAATGTTATTTTGGCAATCGTATATATCGTATTCTACTACCTGAAATATAAAATAAAATAGTCAAGATTTTTCTTATTTTTTTCTTGCCAATTATGTTCTGTATGTATTCCATATATTTTACTTGCCATTGTGTTATTATTGTCGATTAGATTTATTTTGGATATTTCACATACGCTTGAACTTTTTTCTGGATACATTTGTTCATATTTAGCAAATCTTTGAAACAATTCCGGAAACCATAGCATCAAAGTATAATAAGATGCCGTAATACATGATATTAAAATGAACACATTGAGACTTTTAAAAAGATATGGAAATTTAAAAAGTGATATTGTTTGTATATACGTTGTATATATTATAGTTCGCCAAGATTTCACTTTAGTATTGTCATTAGAATTGTTATGATTATTATTTATTTTCAAATTATCGTAGAAAGGATTTTTATTTTTGTCAAGTATTTCCTATTTAAAATAAAAAAACAAATAATTGTATATATATAAATTATAAATTAAAATTGAAATTAAAAAACAAAAAAAAGTGATTAAATAAAAAAGAAATACTAACAAAATACATTTCTATAGGATTACCAGTATTTTCTGTATAGATTTTTCTAAGTACAACAGATAATTCTGACAATTGCATATTTTCAGCAAGAAATTTGGGACTTTCATTGAAATACAATGACCAAAAACCAATTGTAAATGATGGTAAGGAACATATTATCACAAATAAATTCCATGAATGAAATGTAAATGGTTTTGCATCAATTTCAAATTGTAATGGTATTATGAGCCAGCCGATAACTGTAAAATTAATTTAAACAGAAAATAAAAAATAAACATATATGAGAAGTTAGTAATTATAGATTAAACACAAATGATAAGAGACAAAATTGAAATTACTTTTTGAAAATAGCATGTGCATATATATATATATATATATATATATATATATATATATATATACATGCCAATTATATATATATATATATTTAAATGAATTCGAAATTGAAATTTCGAATTTAAATGAAAAATTTCAATATGATTAATTTCATAATTAATGTAGATATGAATGTGATGTGTCAAAATAATGAAGAAGAACGATTTTTACCAGGAGCAGCGATAAGACCTAATGTCCATGCCATTTCTAACCATGAAAGTAATTTTTCTTTATATTTTGTTGGTTGACATTCACCTAAATAAACGAAAAGTGTCCCACTTTGTCCGCTTAATCTGAAAAAAATAGTACATAAATTTTACTTAATTTATTATTTGTACAATTGGTTAATTATGAAGTGTCTTACACACTTTTATCTTTCGCGATTAATATTTTCATGTGTAATCAATGTTAAATTTCCTTATTTTTGCACAAATATCCGTATTTTCGTTTTATTCAATATCCGATAAGATTTGAAAAAAAGAAAAAAAAACAAGAAAAAGAAATATCGTTTCATAATTTTATGATGAACAAATGTTTGGAATAATAAATGAAAAAAAAAAATGAAAAAATTACTCACGAGAAACCGCTTAAAAATTTGAATAATAAGAACAATCCGTAATTTGGTATTATGCCAGATAAAAATTCAAATATTCCTTGAAGAAATAAAGACATTTTTAAAGTTCTAATTCTGCCTTTGATTCCAGCATAACAACCCCAAAACCAACACCCTGCTGCCATTCCTGTTCATGCATATATAAAAATATTATTATTCATTACAATTAATTATTAACTGATAATGTTAATTATTTATACGTAAGAGTGTATCAAATGATTCAATTTAATTTTATTCCCCTTTTTTTTATTTAATAGTATAATTTTTTATTTATTTCTTTGCATATAATTTATTAACATTGAATATAAAAAAAAGTATTGCAGAGTAAAAATACTATCGTAAATGATTTTAATAATAATTAAACTGTCACTGTGTTTAAGGAAAAAAGAATGATCAATCGTTAAAGATTACTTTTAATATTCGTAAATAAAATCATTTTAATTTTAAACACACGTAAAATATTATTTTGATCGTACAATTTAAACAGACGTAAGACTCCTTTAACAATCACAATGAATCATCGGAAATTTTATTTAAGTATTTTGTTTGTTAATATTTTTATTCCGAATTTCCTTGGTTTAAAAAATAACTATTTTTATTTTTGTTCATCGATAGTTTTTTTAGATTTTGTTGATTGTTGATAGTTTTGTTTCTACTTTTAAAAACATTTTTTTCCAATAATTTCTTTCAGTTTTTTTTTTTTTTTAACAGCTGGTTCTGATGTTTGATTTTTTTTTGTTACTTTTTCCTTAGAAATAAAATTGTGATTGTATTGCTCTCAACTCGTTAAATGAAATTGCTGTTCGTATTTTCATTGAAACACACTGTTTATCTTTTTTTAAATACTTTTTATTAACGCATCGTGAAGAAATCATGCGTGTAATGTTCAATAATATTGCATAATTGTTTTTCTTGATCTTTTTTTTTGAATTCATGGCAGCAATTATTTTTTCTGTAAGATCAAGATCAGAATCAAGTCTTATTCCAAATTCAAAAAAAAAATATATATATATAAGTTAGTTAAAACTTGAGATTTTAGAAAACAAATGAGTTTTTAATTTTTTNGTTAAAACTTGGGATTTTAGAAAAAAATGAGTTTTTAATTTTTTTCATATTGTTCCACCACTTCAAAAAATTCAAGAAAATTCCTGAGTGTAGAGGAGTATAAAAKACATTTTCTRAAAAATTTTGGTGACTGRCATATTTCAAAAAAGCTAAAAAAAAAAAAAAATTTAATTTTCTTTCGTCCGCCAAAAATCGGCTTTTCGTTAAAATATTATGATAATATTTTTTTTTCATGTCAGAGACTCCTAAGAACTAGAAAAAAATCATCATTGATTAGTTTTGAATTTTACTATAAAAAAAAAATAAAATCGAAAAAACAGGTTTTTTTAAAAATCTCGAGAACCGTTTGAGTAAAAGAGCTAAAATTTGGGATGAATTATTTTTATTCGACACCAAATCGATCCCCCAAGTGCGAGTCAAAAAAGCCACGGGGGCAGATTTCCCATACTTATCCGGCTATACCCTTTAGATAACTAATTGAATTTCATTTATAATATTAGTCTTACGAATGTAAAATAGTAATTTTTGAAAATCAAAATGTTGTCTTATGAAATACCTAAAAGATAACATTAATTATATTTTATTTCAATCTTTCGTAATTCAAACATTAAAGAATATTAATTATATATAAATAAATTTTATATTAAAGTACTATTAAAAAAAAAATTATAAATAAAATTAAATTGAATGAAAATTCAATTCTCGTTATCGAACACATTTGTGTTGGATACTTTTGTAATTAATTTATTATTACCAATCAGAGATATTATATTGATGTTTCCTTTATCAATGGTACTCATATGAAAATCACATGCAGCTGATGGAAGAATAAATCCGATACTGCATATACTAAGTGCTGTGTTTAGATAAATCAAACAACAAAGTACCATTACCTTCAAATTAAATTTTCCAAAACCTAAAGGTGAATAATAAAAAAAAGAAAATGTATTTAAATAAAAGTAAAAAGTAAATGAAGTAATACATATAGTAAAATCATTAAAAAATGATTAATTATGGTTATAAATGTAAGAATAATAAAAAAATATTATAACGAACCTGTTTCATTAAGTGCAAGTTGTACACTTAGTTCCAAATCAATCTCATTAGATAAATCTGCATTTAAAGAAAAAAAACTTCATTTGTATAGATAAATTAATTTAAAATAACAAATTTTCTTCATTTTTTTATTATCTTACCATTAGATATTTCTATCGTAGATGATTTCATTTCTATATCTTTTTTATCCATTGAAAGTGAATATTGTTGACAATTTTTCATGAAAAATTTCTATAATACAAAACTATTACACGTAACAACTTCTATATTTTCAAATAGAAAAAATTATCCTATAATAATATGAATTAATTATATAAATGTTAATAATAATTAAAGTAAAAACAACAACACTGTAATGAACTTAACAATATCACCAACAAAGTTCGAAATCACTACGTTATTGATACTTCGAATTTGCATTGTAAGTTAAATTATAAATAATATGATGATACAAAATTGATACATATATATGTATGTTATATCAAGAAAAAAAGAAGGAAAAAAAATTGCACAATTGTCGTCGTATCAATTCGCATGAGCAAAGCAAATCATTGATGTTGACCGATAGAGGAGAATTCAATCAAACTTTAATCCGATGCGAGTGTCTTTTAGTAATATGTATATCCCCACCACTACGACATTTTACATTTTACTTGTGTTTTTTCTTCTTTTTTTTTTCTTCTTACGCGAGTTAGATGAAAGACGATTATTATACTCTTAGTTAGTTTAGTGTGTATAATAAATTCCGAGCAAATAATCATACGAATTATTGAATTTCCTCAGAAGTTTCATCCGAATAATAATAATAATAATAATAATAATAATAATAATAATAATAATAATAATAATAATAATAATAATAATAATAATAATAATAATAATAATNAATAATAATAATAATAATAATAATAATAATAATAATAATAATAATAATAATAATAATAATAATAATAATAATAATAATAATAATAATAATCATTAATAACAATTGAACCTTAAAAGGTGAGTTGCATTGAAAATATTTTACAAAGTTAATTGTCCATTCGTAAGTATTCAAAAATTTTATTTATTTATTTATTTGTTGTTGGTGTTGTGGTTTTATTTTCATTTTTTTTTCTATTTAAGTTCAAGTTAAGTATTTTTGTTCAACAACAAAATGTATTTTTATTCATTCATGGTTTTTATTTTTATTCATTTATGGTTTTTATTTTTTTCTATTATAGTATTTTGTTCAACAACAAAATGTATTTTTTTATTCATTCATTTTTCTCTGTTTTTTTTTTTCAAATTTTGATTCGGATTATTTTTTTTAATTCTAATTTTACATAATTATCAACTGATAAGAAATTAAAAAAAAAAGAAAAATGACGTAGTTATTAAAAACGTGGGTTTTTTCATCAAATTTATTCCAAAACATGTTTTCCCATCAAAATAAAAAAATAATAGAAAAATAAGTCTTTCAAACTTTATCTTTGATAAGATTATAATAACGATGAATAAAATAATTATAATAAACTAGGGGTGCCCCGCCAAGCGTTGTTGTGGCTCACAATCAGTCAGATATACACGTCTTTAAGTCAACGAATTACCTTATACCGCCATCTGTTAGAATCTTATCGAACTAACAGAGATAACCATGACTCTTTGTTAATAAACAAATAATTCGAAATAAAAAATAATATTGCGATTATAAATTGAGATATAAACTATTCTATCTTTCAAATTGGATGAAACTGCACACAGTTTGCAAAATTTTATTAAAATCGGTTCAGTAATTTAGGAGTCCATAGCGGACAAACAACGTGACACGTAATTTATATATACTAAGAAGATATATATATATATATATATATATATATATATTATATCAATTATTATTAATTTTTATTATTCATTTATATCATTTATTTTTTATTATAATTAATAAAAAGAGATACGTGCGTAACGAAGATATATATATATATAAAACATTATATTAAATAAAATAAAATATTGTATCTTTATTGAAAAAAAATAACATAATTTTGTATCTTTAATTTTTTTTTTAATAATATTTACTATCAATCCTATTTTTTAAAATTCTTTACGAGATTGTGCCATATTTATTTATAATTACAATAATATAATAATAAACTCTCTCGTATTTTATATTTTATAATTACATAGATTATATATACATATGTATAATATAATTATTATATAATGCATAAACTAATTATAATATATGTACAAATGTATAGATTGTATATATATATATATTTAAATATAATAAAAATAATTAACACAATGACATAAAAATAATTTCAATGAAATTACCAATATATATATATATATATATATATATATATATATATATATATATATATATATTTATATGTATATATAATTAAGTCATGATCTAAGATGAAAATTTAATTCTTTTTTCTTTCAACAACAATTATAATAAACTCTAATTAAAATCAACTTTACGTATTTTTCATTATAAAATTATCTTTGTTTTTATTTTTATAAATGTTATTGTCTTTTTTCTTTTATTTGTTTGTTTGTTTGTTAACGCATATCAGGAAGAATTTACGATAAAATTAACGTATGAGAGATTTCTATTTCTTTTTCTAAAAAAAAAAAAAAAAAGAAAAAAAAATCATCAATGTGAATACTTCTTACAACTATAATATGTACATATATGTAAAATGCAATATAACTAGACAGATATTGCATTGTGCATAATGTATACAGTAAATATACATTTATATTTGTTAATCCAATTGATGATAGAATCCTTTTTTTTTCTTTCTTCCTTTTTTTATTATTTTTTGTTGTTGTTGTCCAATTTTAAATTCTTTACATTCTTCTTCTCTTTTTAGGTTTGTTTGTTTTATTTTTGTTTATTTCATTTTGTTTTCCAAGACACAATGTCATCACGTTTCTTCCTTGTTTTACAAATTATTCCATTTTTTTTTCGTTTTTTTTCTTAATCGAGAGTTTCTTTCCCCGTTCGTGGTAAGACAAATGACAAAAAGCCGCATACTGTAAAAAAAAAACGAAAAAATATAATAGTTAATTGTAAAAACGTATGTTCCAAATACGTTGGCCAAAAGAAAGCGGAAACATAAAAAGGAAAAAAAAATCAAATAAAATATAATTTAACTTGTCTACAATTGATTCTTCAAAAATAAGTGATAAAAAAAATATGTTTTTTTTTTTAATTCTCATGATAAATATTTTGAATATAGATCGTTTTTAATAAATGTCATTTTTGGCATTATAAATTTATTTCTGTATAGAGTCAAATAATTTTTTTTTGACAATAATTTAATGTCACCTCTTTTTGCACACACGTGTGCACACACGTGTGCTCAAACGAGGTTTAACTTTCTTTCTCTTTTGTAGAAAAGTAAATATATTAAAAGAACAAGAAAGAAGAAAGAAGAGAGAATAAGAAAAAGAAAAAACTTACGAAACAAGAATGCGGCAAATATCACTATAGGTACGATGCATGCTAAATCAATTAAATAACCGAATAATAAATTTCCAACTAATGCACCTAATCGACCCATTGTTAAAGATAACGCTGCTGCCATTACCCTGTACAACAAACAAAACAAAATAATTTTATTATAACATTTATGGTAAATATATATATATTAGGGTGGGTCAAAAAAATGACTTATTTTTTTTTTACAAGTGCCACGGAAAAATGGGTTGCTAGAACCTTAAAAAAATTTTTACCAAATATGAGCTCTTAATTTCAATAGGAAGATCCTCCGCATCGCAGTTTTTTATTTTTTTTTTAGTCCAATAGATTAAAATTCATACCTCATTATTTATTGATTGTACAGAAAAATGTTCTAGACGAATTTTGTAGGAAATTTAATGCTCTACAAAAAAGGTACCTTATACTTTTTCCATAAACCTCACCATTTGAATGATATTGAGGATTTAAGTTTGATTATTTTAAGACAAATTTCATTTTTGTTTATGAATTTTATAACTCGACAATAAATGACTATTAAAAAGTGCACAATACAAATTTTTGTAGGAAATTAACTGCTCTATAAAAATGGCGACTTATGTTTTGGCGATTAAATTAAGCGTTCAAAAGATATTCATCATCAAACTTTCATGCGTACTGATTTTTGTCTCTGAATATCTTTTGAACGTTTAATTTAATCGTTAAAACATAAGACAACATTTTTATAGAGCAGTTAATTTCCTTCAAAAATTTGCATTGCGCATCTTATAATAGTCATTTATTGTCGAGTTATAAAATTCATAAACAAAAATGAAATTTGTCCTAAAATAATAAACTTAAAACCTTAATATCATTCAAATGGTGAAGTTTACGGGAAAAATATAAGATACCTTTTTTGTAGAGCATTAAATTTCCTACAAAATTCGTCTAGAACATTTTTCACTACAATTAATAAATAATGAGGTATGAATTTTAATCTATTGGACTGAAAAAAAAAATAAAAAACTGCGATGCGGAGGATCTTCCTATTAAAGTTAAGAGCTCATATTTGGTGAGAATTGTTTTAAGGTGTCTAGCAATCCATTTTTCCGTGGCACTTGAAAAAAAAAAAGTCATTTTTTTGACCCACCCTAATATATATTCAGATAAAAAAATAATAATTTAAAGCGTCATTTTAATATGACGCTTTTTGCTTACCTGAGATTCGTCGGAAACATGTCGACGATTATGCAGTAAACTAAAGAGATGCCTAATGACGTCAAAGCTTCAAATATACACGATAATATTAGATTTTGCGTTGAGTTTATGACGAAATAAAAACCAACGGTTACTGCACCAGAGACTAGCAATGATAAGACTGTAATAAATATAAATTGTTTGTTTATTGATATTCATTTCTTCTTTATCACTTACTATCATTTCTGTTTTTTTATTTTCTTAATCATAGAACTTTAATTGTTTTGATTAAAAACATTCTATTATTGATTTTAATCTATTTTTTTTCTTACAATTAATTTATTTAACTACTTATATTATAATTATATTGCCTATCTATTAATTAATTTATAGGTAGGTAAATAAATTAGGTATTTATAAGGTATTTATATAGATACCTTATTAATTTATTTATCTACTTATATTATAATTATATTACCTATTCATTAATTAATTTAAATACCATAATAAATATATTAAATAAATTAAATACCAAATAATAATTAATTTAATCTACAAATATAACCCAATAATTAGTTTAATCACCTAAAGAACAATTGAATAATTCATTTTAGAAATTAGAAAAAGCAAATATTCTTTTTTATAAAAATATAAATTGATAAGCTTGACATGTCATCATTTTAAATGTAACATGAATAATAGATTATCGGTTACTTATAAATTATGAAGACAAATGATACTATTTTTTTTAAATTAGAGGATTGATTTATATTTGTATGCACTTACTTAAGAAAAATCTCGCTCCCAATTTATGTACAAAAATTGGTAAAATGATAGAACCAGGTATACATGCTAGTCCAAGATAAACAGTATGTAAATAAACATTCAAACCAATGACAGTATCGCATCCGTAAGGATCCGAATTGGTTGAATTGTCAGACAATGATGATACTATGCAAACGGATGTTGTTTCACCAGGATTTTCATGTTCGAATTCTTCAAATCTAAATTATAATAATAATAAATCAGTTGTAGAACATAATTTCTATCAAAATTATTAAATGATTATATTAAAAGTATATTAACCTGGTAAATAATTCAGGAAACCAGACCATAAGAGTATAATAACTACTGGTAAGACCAAATTGTATGGCACATGCTAACAAAGTATTACGAAGGTATGGTGGTTTGTATAAAGACATTGTTAATTCCCAAACTTCTGAAAAGAGTACTTTCAAATCTTTTTTTTTATGAAGTTTCAATGATCTAGTACTCTTGTCCTTGGAATTTGATTTCTCTTGCAAACACTTTACCTAAAATAATAATAATAATAATAATAATAATAATAATAATAATAATAATAATAATAATATATAATAATAAAATAATTGATAAGAAAATGTTATTAGAATTTTTATAATAACTTGTTGATGTAATACAGTATTATATATTTATATATATAGTAGTTAATATAGTATAAATTAAATTAATATATTTAATATAGTATAATATATTTATATATTATATAAATTATTATTTAAAATTATATAAAGATATATTAATATAGTAAAATATATTTTTAAGTATATTATATTTAATTATTTTAGTTATTTTAGTATAATATATTTATTATATATACTATTGGGATCTCTAGTACTTGAATACGCTATCTGGTGGCTAAATTCAAAATTAGAGTAGATAGGTCGAATTGCTACGCCACGCCCCTGCTAGAGATTCCAATATATATGTACATATATATAAATTACGTGTCACGTTGTTTGTCCGCAATGGACTCCTAAACTACTGAACCGATTTTAATAAAATTTTGCACACTGTGTGCAATTTCATCCAACTTGAAAGATAGGATAGTATATATATATATTATATTTATAATAGTAATAAAATAATTGAATTACTGGATAAGTTTCTGGATCTTGACCAGTATTTTGTGCATAAATCCATTTAAATACTTCCAAGGCAGCTTCTGGTTCACCACACTCTAATAAAAATTTCGGACTTTCTGGGAATGCAAATAACCATAATCCTAAGACGATTGATGGTAGGGCACAAAGGGCTACGAAGAGATTCCATGATTTGAAGTGAAACACTTCGGATTCGTACCTCAGATCTAACGGTACTATTAACCATGCTATAACTGTCAAGATAAAATATTTCATTTGTTTTGTTTTGTTCTATTATAAATAAACAAAAAATTTTCTATATTATTCTAACTTACGTGGCAATAATATTACACCGACCGTCCAAAACATTTCCATCCAACAAAGACACCTTTCGCGATATTTCGTTGGTTGAAATTCTCCTAAATATGGGAAACAAATTCCCATAGCACCTGTTACCCTGTTTCATTCAATGAATACAACCAAAATAAATATAATATACATTGAACAATACTTTGAATAATTTTAATAATCATTCACCTAATATATGTGTATGTACGTGTGTGTTAATAATAATTCAATTTAATAATTTGTTAATAATAAGTAAATCTGTTTGAACACGTTGAATTAAATGTTTTTCAACAAAAAAATTAATTCATTTAATTATACTTACGCGAAACCATTGAAAAACCTGAAGATTAAAAATACCCAAAAGTATTGGACAAATGACGAAATGACCCCGACTATTCCGTCCATCAACAAAGTTGCTATCAATACTACTTTTCTTCCTTTGGTATCAGCCAGGCATCCCCATATATATGACCCAACCACCATACCTATATACAATAAATAAATGAACCCAAAAAATAGTGTTTAAAAATATAATTTTTTTGGTATTTGATATTTCTAATTATATTTGTTGTATTAATTATGTTTACCCAACATCGGTGATGCCGTTAACCATCCTTTTGCAGTTGAATCCATTTCCAGGTCGCATTGTGCGGCAGGTAAAACGAATGAAAGAATTGTTACGCCTATGGCAGTATCCATGTAAATTAGCCCGCATATTGCCAATAGCATGTAATGAAACTTTCCAAATCCTATTTTTAATGATTACACGTAATTAAATAAGAAAATGATAATTTTCGTAATTATTACAATATTACACCTGTATATATATATATATGTGTATGTATTGTTCTTTCTTATGCAACTCATAGATTAGTTTAGTTTTATTTTGCAATAAATATTAATAATAATGATTTGCTTTATATATATATATATATATATATATATTATTATATAGTATTATAATATAATATATTAATATAATAAATTATAAATATTTATAACGTAACCATAATTGCAACCATAATTGCGTGTTTTTATGCAACACATACTATAGATTAGTATATTAAGTTAATAATAATTGTTTGATATTCGTTCGTAATTAAACAACGAACACGTTATAAATCAATCTAATTGTAAGAGAGAACTAAGCGAGTTGTTTTTGTAAACATTAAATCTCACGATTTGAGATAATTATGATTGATATACTTAATAATATTTTTACACGTACGTCTGACAAAAATTATAATTATTATTATAAAGTTATTAGGTCCAGTCATAAGTAACTTCCGTTGCGGCTATGTAAAATCTGTTTTTCGTATTTACCTATTATAAGTCACCGAAACAAACGGATTTTCGATATCACTATATAGATGAGGATTCAGTTAGTCTTCTGTCTATTTTTTTATGCAGTCAATGTTACACTTAACCGTTTTTCTTAACCACTGAAATGGATAGTAAAAAGTGCATATTCGAAATGTAATGCTTTAGGAATTGAAACAAGGCAATTAGCACTAAGGTAGCAACTAAAAAAAATATGCAACGTATACAGTGCAGGACTGATAACTGATAGAGCAAGTCAGAAATTGGCTTCTAAAATTCTTTTCTGGAGATACGATCTTAAAAGATGAACAGAGTACAGGACGTATTTTCGACTTTGACGAACCTTTTAAAGGTAATATTGGAGCAAAATCCAATAGCTACGTTCAACAATTGCAAAGAGTGCAAAAAAAACTTCATGAAAGGTGTCTTGCACTTATTAGTCGCAGAAACGCCATTCTTTGTCTAATAAAAAATGAAAGTTATTTATGACTTGACCTAATATTTATGTATTTTTTTGAATCGTTACAAATTATGGTAACATTGATGAGATGATTTAATAAGATAGTATACATGTTTTATTTTTATTATTTTTTTTAATATTTAACAATGAATTTTTACCTGTTACGGTGATTGCATGCTCGAAGTCGACACCTCCGTCTTCCAAGAAATCGAGACCTATAAAAAATAATTTAAAAAAGAAAAAGAAACACATAGGAATAACATCAATTGAAAAGTTGTCGAATAATTTAAAGAAGATTTTTTTTGTGCAATAATAAAAAAAGATATAATATTTATAATATTGTTATATAATTTAATTAATATTATTTTGCAATTAAACCTATACCACGTGTGGTCGGTTTAATTTTTTTTGTAATTTAAAGTAAAACATGTAATTCACTTGTAATTTGTAAAAAAAAATAAAAATAAAAATAAAAAAACCAACAAAATACGATAATAACTATATATATATATATATATATATATTAATATAAAATATACAAAATATATACTAATATAAAATATAAAAAATATATACTGATTTAATATTTATATATTAATTAAGAATATTATAATTTAATAAACAAAATAATAAAAAAAAACATTTTCCGAATTAAATCAAATTGACCAAAATCCCCTTTCTTTAAAATCCTCTTTTTATAAAAAATAAAATACATGAATAATATATTAATATAAAATTTACAATTAAAATTTCCACCCTAATATTAAAAACATACCCATGATCGTTCGTGGTAATTGGAAGAAAATTCAAATCGGATGAAAAAAGTATCCTCGTCAGTTTCGGTCGTACAGTTTTAGTGATGATGGTAGTGATGGTATTGGTGGTGGTGGTGGTGGTGGTGTTGGTGGTGGCGATGGATGCTACAACGAAGGATTCTTTTGTCGAGGGTGTTCTACAGGTAACTACGATGATGCACTGACGATTTTCCGTACGTGTACCACGGTTTTGTCCTCTGCCGTAAAGGCTGCACGCTACGCTCATTGGTGAACACTCGGTGGTATCTGATCGTCGTCTTTATCGCTTATGCGAATTTGACGAATTGTTTCTCCCGTGCCGAAATCAAATGAGAAAAAGAGAGATAAAGATAGAATATTATACAGTGTTATTATTCTCTCAATGTTTTTTTTCTTTTTTTTTTCTTCACGTCACTTTTTTTGTTGTTGTTGCAAAATATACACTTTTAATTTATTTCTAATTTTTTCCTCTTCGTTTTTTCCTTGAAAAAACAAACCCCCCCCCAAAAAAAAATTTAAATTCCAACAGTATTGGGATAGGGTTTTTATTTATTTCTTTTTTTTTCTTGTGTTTTTGTTAAACAAATTTATATTTTGCCAACTGGTTGATTTATATTTAAAAAAAAAAACAAATAAATTAAAAATGAAACATTTAAATCTCAACCCTATTGGGATAGGGTTTTTATTTATTTTTTTATTTTTTTGCTTGTGTTTTGTTTATACTTTTTATGCAACTATCAACTACTATAGAATATCCTTTAAATGAAAAATTAAATTATAATTCGAGAAGAGAATAATGTCACACGGATTCGATGTTACACCTTGGTCTAATCAACGAGTGACTACTACTGGACAAAAATCTGATCTACCTGTTACCTTTTTGTTTTTTCCTATTGGTTTTTTTTGTTTTTTTTTTTGGTTACGTATCTGTCTAACCCAATCCCGTCCCGTAGCCACTATATTCTCTTAGATGAGATAAGATATTGTTACCCCTTCTCTAAAAAACAATCCATCTTCTTTACTTTATTTTTCTCACTCACTCTCATTCATTCTCTCTCTATCTCGATCTCTCTCTCTCTCTCTCTCTCTCTATCTGTTTTTTTTTCTTTTTCATTTGGATCGTCATATGCCTCGTAGAAGGCAAAAAAAAAGAAACTAGGGAAAACCTGACACTTTAATACGTCCAATAATTTTTGACAGATAAAATGTACACGCACGTGAGAGAATGATCCAGATTTTTTTGAAGGAAAAACTTAACCAAGGATTTTCATAATTAATTGACTTTAAATCAAGTGATCCTAAAAATTATTAAAAAAAAAAAAAATAAACATAACAATAAAGTAAAATGTATATTTCTTTTTTAAATACTAAATTTGAGAACTGAATAAATAAATAAATAAATAATATATAATATAAAATATATTATTATATATAAGAAATAGAAATTATATTAATATGTAAGTAATATATATATACTTGTATTACTTGTATATATATTAGGGTGGGTCAAAAAAATCAATTATATTTTTTTTTACAAGTGCCACTAAAAAATGGGTTGCTTAACCTTAAAAGAATTCTCACCAAATATGAGCTCTTAATTTCAATAGGAAGATCCTCCGCATCGCAGTTTTTTATTTTTTTTTCAGTCCAATAGATTAAAATTCATACCTCATTATTTATTGATTGTACAGAAAAATGTGCTGGAAGAATTTTGTAAGAAATTTAATGCTCTACAAAAAAGGTATTTTATATTTTTTCCGTAAACCTCACCATTTGAATGATATTGAAGATTTAAGTTTGATTATTTTAAGACAAATTTCATTTATGTTTATGAATTTTATAACTCGACAATAAATGACTATTAAAAAGTGCACAATACAAAT